AAATTAATGTATAATTATAACTTTGAATTTAACTCCAGTTCATTTTTCATCATTTCTCATAACATTTGTGACGCATAAAACCAGCAGAAACCAGTGAATAATCTGTGGTGGTAACAATAATCCAGATAATCCAGATGTTCAGGCAGGAGTAACTGTTGTTGCTCTAACTCCCGCTCTCTCACCCTTTCTCCCCCCTCTTCCAGGAGGTGAATTAGTCTTGCCTATTATAACAGTGGACTCCCTTGAGCCTCCCTCCATCGCCACCCGTTACCCTGTCATCCCTCCTCCCCCCACCCTCCTGTCCCCGCTCGAAACCACCAAAGAGTCCCTGATCCTCCCCCCTCACCCCTCCTGCCCCCCGGACCAGGAGGACTGCGGTGACCCGGTGGAGGTCTCGGCCTTCGGCTCGGGCGAGATGACGGAATCGGACGACGAGGACTTTTACAACAACAACAACTCCCCCATGGTCACTGACAGGACAGTCCTTCCTCCACCTCCCGCCGCCGGTGAAGGTGGAGTCCAGAAGCCCCGCCCCCTGCCTCCTTATGTTCCCACCACCAACCCTGACCAGCTCCACATCCCCGCGGGCAAAATGAACACCCGCGACCAGGTGCTCCTGCCCCCTGCCCCTCCCTCCTCCCGAAACACCCCGGGACTAACTTACCCCCCCAATTTCCCCCATGTGCCCACAGCCTACCCCACTGTCTCTGATGACAAGAACCAGCCCGGTGCCGTGGAGGTGATCAGGGAGTCCAGTAGCACCACGGGGATGGTGGTCGGCATCGTGGCCGCCGCCGCCCTCTGCATCCTCATCCTCCTCTACGCCATGTACAAGTACCGCAACCGGGACGAGGGCTCGTACCCGCCGGACCAGAGCCACGGCTTTGCCAACAGTTCAGCCGTGGAGGGCAACGGCGCCGTGGTCAAGGACAAAAACACGGCCACGGCCTCCGTGGCCATGTCCATCACAAAGGGTAAAAAGAACAAAGACAAAGAGTACTACGTC